AGTTTATTGACCCTGTTCAAGTGCTGAATGTAAATACAGGAGGCAGGAAAAATAAGTGTAATCAGGTGCAGCGTCTTAGATTTCAGGACAGTTTTGTACTCTCAGTAGCAGTGGAACTTAGCCCAGAGAGGAGAGGAGATTTAGTTGGAAGAGGGAACGTGTGGGTAAAGCGCATCCCAGCTGAGGGAAAATGAGCTGTTATCTCACAGCGGCTATGGTTGTCTGCTGCACATGGCAACACATACCTAGAACTGTATATGCTGCCCTAGGGAATATATAGCAGAAAGCACCTTAGGTTTCAGCCAATGCATGTAACTCCCAGTGTCACTTTAAAGCAGCCCTTCCTCTCTCTCCCAGCTAGTAAGAGTCCAATTCCTGTGTCGCCATGAGATATTTGTGGCCACACTGAGAAATAACATCCTGCCTAGAAGACCATAAAAGCTCCATGATATGTGTCCTTCCTGAATGACTAGGGCATGGTCTAGTTTTTTCAAGTATTACTAAGATTTAAACCCATATACACAGCAGGCAATATTGGATGTGTGGCGTGGAGTTGAATTTGGAAAAAAAAAACCACCCACCTTTTAAAGGACTGATGTTCATGGAACCTGAATGGGCAGGGAAGTAAATGCTGAGCCATTTGATGGTGGTGGTAGTTTTTGAGTCAGGTGAAAACTAGGGAGAACAGAAATCATCTGGGAAGTAGGTTCATTGTGCGAAATTGAATTCTCAGCCCAGTTAAGTGAGAAACTTGGTAGAATTCTTTTTTGTGGTGTTGTTTATGGCAGAGTCATCTGTTACTATGGTAGCAAGCAATAAATAATGATATAAAGGGATTAAAATGAGTGCTGGCATTGCTGGCGTGTCATTGGAAGGTTTTATTCTTGGTCTGAGTGTCATTTGTGCAAAATATGGTGGTGCATTAAATTGAAAAATAGATTTTCATTTTTATTTTTTAAACTGCACGTTAGTGACTTATGGTAATGGTTCCCCGAATGAGGCTGACCCTGAAGGGCTTCTGTCATGTAAACTATTCTTTAAATTCTGTTTCGATAGACTGTCTCCAGCTACTCCACTCTGATGCAACGGTGTCTACAAAGGCACTTCCTCAGAAGACTAAAGAGTGAGCCTAGCAAGAGATTTCACAGATAGATGACAAATAATTCTGAATATTTTTCAGCTAGTGTGGTTGTGAATGGAGAGCAACCTGGCTGGAGAAAGAAGGAACATATCTACTATATCCCATGAGCATTTAGAAAGTTGCTTTTTCTAAATTGGTTTACAAATGAAAATAAACATTACATACTGTCTGAAAGAAAAGTAATTTTTATTTTGCATAACCACCTAAGACCACTCATGCTTTTGCCTGAGGAAAAATAAAGGGATTTATTTTTATAGTTGTAGCAGAAGTTAACAGTAAGCAGGAGCAGCAAGCTGCATGTCTTTTGCACATGCATGTACTGAGGAGTAAGAAGAAGAATCTATGTTTCCACCTTCCTCCAAATCCTGGGGCCAGACAAAACACCCATAGGCTGCTATCCAAGATGAAAGCTGTAATGACCATTGCAGATTACTGCTTGCTTTTATTCAGTGGAATAAAATAGTTACAGTTATAAAATAATGCCACAGCAGTTCTTGTCCGGGCACCTCTTGTGCTGAGGTCTCCTGGATCCACAAACTCACCTGAATTCCTTCTTAGTCCCAGCATGACCTTGCCCAGAGAAGCTGTGGATGTCCCATAGCTGGCTGTCTTCAAGGCCAGGCTGGATGAGGCTTTGAGCAACCTGGTCTAGTGGAAGGTGTCCCTGCCCATGGCAGGGGGGTTGGAACTAGATGGTCTTTAAGGTCCCTTCCGACTCAAACCGTTCTGTGATTCTATGACTCCCGCTTCAGGTAAGAATTAATGTGTCTTTCCTTCCAAGAAAGAAAGAAAGAAAAAAAAACAACCAAACAAAAGTAATTACATTTTTCTACCATTATGCAGCATTAATTCCTTCAATAAAGTGTTGGAAATACATAAATAAAAAGGTGAGATCTATGCTCCCTTGGAAATGCTGTGTGGACTGGCAGGGAGGTCGTATGGTATTACAGATCCTGGATCCTGTGTACAAGTGCCAGCAATTGCAGGAGAGCCCAGTTAGATCATCAGTGATCAGTGGATCTTTGGCTTTACTGTGCTAAGAGGTTTATGGCTAATTTCTCATCTGAACATGAGTACTGAAGACAAAAAGGGGATGGCAGAGGAAACAAGGTATGAAACAAGGGCAAGGTATGAAAATTTAGAAGAGAGAAAGTGAAGTTGTCAGTGCTTGTCACATTACAGTTTCCCATTGGAGAGCATCCCATTGGTTCTATTGCAGTTGTAAGAAAAAGGGGGGGCAGGGTGGGGGAAACTTGTTTTCTGTGATTTTAAGTGTTATTCAGGTAGTACTCTAAAGCTGCCAACTATAAAATGTTTTGATGTATTTGGCAGGAGAGTTCAAATCTTTTTGACTTCAGAATTTGCATTTTGAGACGATCCAGCCTGAACATTTTAAAATTTCACTTGTGCAATTTTAGCAGAGAAAATCTTGTCAAAAGGCTGATAAATACTAGTCTTTGTGGTTGCTTGCTTGGTTTTTTTTATAGAAAGATGTGAAGACACAGCTTTGTTGCCTGGTGCTCTGTTGGGAGGCAGTTTCTACACCTTGGATAGAGGAAAGGTATATCTCATGTGAAGAAGCTTCACTTAACTCCTTGTGTGTAAGACCCAGGGCAGGCTAAAATGCAATGGATTCTATGTCTGCCTTCAAAATTTGCACTGGTGAAATAGCACTTCATGAAATACCAGGTGGGGTACCTGGTTGTCTCTGAAAAATTTTAACTTTTAGTATTTCACACGTGGATATTTTTCTGTAAGTGTATTCCTTTCTGCTCACAAACAAGCCAAACGAAACTCTTGAGAGCTGAAAGCCAGAAGATTTTTGATTTCCTGAAGGTTTGTCACATACTTATGGGCCCAGGACAGTTGGCATGTGGGGAATTTACAGACACATTATCCTATACTGGAATTCCTGCTTTATTCCTGCTTCAGCAGAGCCACCTGTGTTCCACGGAGTTTTACTCCAGGGGACCTCAGGTAGCATTCTCCTTGCTGTGGTCTCCCTAGGATTTCCCCAGAGATCTTGTGCTCAAAAAATTCCTGTGCATCCCTGAGCCAGACCTGCCATCCCCAGTCCCCTCTGAAACTGCCCACTCTTGGGAATGCACTGGCTGTTGGCAGAGCTTAAGGAGCAGGAGGGAATTTGCCACATTTTTTCCTTGCCACTATGCTGCTCTCCAGAGATGCCTCTTGAACCCCTATAGGCTTGAACCTCAGTGCTTCTCTGATAGATTAAAACTCATTCTGCTTTCATGGAAAGCTGGCATCAAATGTCATAAAATGAATCATCTCTGCTTCAGAACCTGAGAGACTTCCCCAACCAGGTTGGATGATTCTTACGAGTAAGACCTAGAAATATACCTCCTCTTGGCCTTTTTTTTCTTAATAGGAACACTAGTATTTTTCCCAGTGTGTGTTTTAGATAAACCGTCTGTGGAGACCAGCAATGTGTTTATCATCAACAGTGAAAATACTGACCTGGAAAGGACTTCTTATTTTTTTTAAAAAAATCCCACATGCATTGATATGTTATAAGGAAAACAAAAATCCTACAGCTGCTCTGCCTGCAGGGCTTTTCTGGATAGCAAAATGGATCAAAGAATGTTTATATTTCCTTGTGAAGAGGAAGAATTCATCACATTATAAATCATAGCAAAATCAAATCAATACCACAAGCTTTTTAAGAATATTACATTTCTTATGGCTATCCTCAGTATAGGTCTCAGCAGTGGGTGCTGCATGCAGCTATAAGAGTGAACTAAAACCTGTCTCTGACACTTGTTTTCATTTAGCATTAAGGAATTAACTGGAGTGCCAGACTGTAACATCCTAAACACTGACATGTTTAGAATCTGAGAGCTAAGTCTGTATTTTATAGCTTGAGTTCATCTGAACTGTGAAGTGGTATTATAAAATAAATTTTTCCTTTCCTCAGAATTCAAGAACATGTTGAGTAGCTTTACTCTTTTCATCTGTTGTGTGCTGTCCCTGGGTCATTAAAGCACTTTGTCCAGTTGTTAACAACGCATCCTGAATGTCTGCTGTAGACCGTCACGATTTGAACACCTTTTTTGGTTGATGAGTAAAGGAGAAGCTCTCTCTCACCTTTTGTGGAATGTGTTGGCTTCTGTCCTGATGAATGTTACTGTAGGATGCAGTGATTTATTTTAACTGTGTTGAGAGACTTTCAAAGCCATTATATGATCTTGTTAGAAGCCAGCAAATTCGTCTTGTATATCAAGGGAGGAAAGTTAGTGCTGAGATCACTAAATAACACTTATTTTCAATAGAGCTTTACAGAGTTCTGGCCTGTGAATTTTGTGATTAGAAGTAGATCATCTATTCACAAGTCATTGCATGACTAGGGAATAGATCCAAGTGCTTCCTAAATTGGAGAAGTGTTGGCATGGTACAACAATGAGCAGTAAGCAGCATATAAAAAGCTATGTGTAGTAGAGAAAAGGATTAAGAAAAAGAGAAAGTTTTGTATTACCTCAGAAATAACTGAGTCATGTAGTTGCTTGGTGCAGCCATGAAGTTACTAGCAAGGGAAAAAACACATCACTCTATTTTATTGCCTCTTCTTCAGGTACTAGGCCTCCGAGACCAAAACCAAACATACACATGTATATGGGTATATTTCTTTGTTTTCAGTTTTCCTTACCAAAGTTTCATGTCTAGACAAAGTGCAATGGAAAACTATTTCTTAATTACTTAGTAGTAATAAATAATGTGAATTTAAGTTGTGCTGCCAACACACTGACCCTTTCTTATGTGTAAGTTGCATTGTTCAGCTCTCCAAGGATACTACCGCTTTCGATTAAAGTGTTAACATTTTCTTTTCTTTTTTTTTTTTCAGGTTGACTTTGAACAACTCCAGGAAAACTTGTGTCAGATGGAAAGACGGTGCAAAGCATCATGGGATCACCTTAAGGCTATAGCAAAACATGAAATGAAACCAACTCTAAAGCAAAAAATGTCTGAATTCCTTAAAGACTGTGCAGAAAGAATCATAATCCTGAAGATTGTTCATAGAAGAATAATTAACAGGTACAGAATTAGATTGGTGACAACAATATCATGATGATAAAGGACTTGTTAAAATTATAAATTATGACATCATAAATATGGTTTTTTGAGTAAGTGTTTATTCCACATTCCAGCAAGTCATGTTACCAGGATGTATGTGGTGCACACTTTGTTACAGACACCATTTGAGAAAGATCCCCAATCCAGAATGTTTCTATATTTATGATGAAAAGAAGCAATGATACAGGCAGTCATTTATTCCCAAGGGTCTTTTAACTCCTACCCCCCAAAATCTAGCAGCTTTATGGTGAAGGTGCTGTATTTTCTGTCCTTCTCTGCACGCTTCTGGGGAGACAGGTTGTGTTGTTTGATAAACAAAAATAAGTTGTAATGATAGACTTGTCATATGAAGAAGTTCAAACGAGTCTGGTACAACGAGTGCTTCTTACAGGCAGCACCACTCCCATTTGCAAGATTTACAGCTATGTGTTTTATGCCTACACAGCAGAAGACATAATAAAGATTCCTCTCCTTAGGACTTGCTGTTGGATTTAGTTTCATCCAATGGAGTTAACAGTAATTGCAGTGCTCTCAAATGTACATATTCATGGTTATTCCACAATACAACTGAGCTTTTTTATTTCAGATTCACAATTGTAGCTGTGTGAGCTTAAGTCATTTGAGTAATTGATCTGCATTTGTGCTGTTTATTAGTAGAATTTTGAGAGATTTTCCAACTTCTGAAGAATTTCCATATTACTGTGGTAAAAATTAGGATCTGGATTCCAAATGGTCCCAGATTTGGGGATATACACTGCAGAAGTTGATTCAGCTCTTCTTTATCTTTCATGATGACTTGTTTTTCATGCCCTAACTAAGCAGAAATCCCAATTAAGTAGTAGGAAAGCGAATTCACCAGTTTCCTGTTGTGTTTTCCATATGCATTGGACATGTAATAATACTAACTTTTCCGATTTTGCCCTGCAAATACTACTATAGACTTGTCCGAAAATGTATCCATGTACTTGCATCCTTCTAGGACTGGAAAGACTTCTTATCATCAGGGATTCAGATAATATTAAGAGGAATTCCCATACATTTTGAAATATTCAGTGTGCAGTCGTAAATTGTGCAATATAGAAGCAACAGTAAAAGTTGCAAATAGTGCGAAAGCTTCGAATGCCACAGAAGCAGTAAAACTGTGCATTGAGAGTATCCCAAACCGAAGTACTCGGTAGATAATACAATTTTATGGTCAGTTTTGTGAACAAGAAATTTTTTCTTTCTTGTGTTTGTTAGCTTGTAAATCTGCATTCTTCTTGTCTAGACTTTCCCCAACATCCTAACAGCCTCTTTGAAGTTGTTTAATACAAATAAATAAGATTGAAACTTAATAAATATTTTTTCTATAACTGAAATTAAATTGGTCATTCACATGCCCAATTAGTAATATAAAGTAGATGGAATTCCATAAACATCTTATCTCCTGCATCAGCCTGGGAAAGTGGACCAGGATGAAGCTATCATAGACTAGACTTTCATGGTTTTAATTATAAAACATGTCAGTGCTATGCAAAGCATCCATGAAAATTCCCTAGCACAAAAGAAACGATGATAGCTAATAAAGTAATAAATGGATTCACTGAAATGTGGGCTTTTTTGCTAGAAAGCATCAAGAAAGATGTGTTTTCCCTTTGCATTTATGAACCCGTTTTTTTCTAGGTTTCACTCATTTTTGTTATTTATGGGCCACCCTCCCTACGCCATACGTGAAGTCAACATCAACAAGTTCTGCAAAATTATTAGCGAATTCGCTCTGGAATACCGCACCACCAGGGAACGGGTTTTGCAGCAAAAACAGAAACGAGCTAACCACAGGGAAAGAAACAAGACCAGAGGGAAAATGATAACAGATGTAAGTGGCAAAATGTATCTTCCGCAGCATGGATTTTTTAAAACTTTCTTTCCTTGAATTTCATATGGGAAGTGCTGTTTCTCTTTAATTTTTATTCTTAAGAAGTTCTTCTACTGTAAGTAATGAACTCTGTTCATTAGAAACTCTTAGAAAACAAAACTTGCAAGTCCTCCGTTGTGTCTATTTTTTGCTTCATACATATTTACACAGTGAGAACAAACTGAAATTAAGCATCCAAAAAGAGTATCTCTGTGTTGCACACACAGTGCTCAAAATATCTAGAAACCAGGAGCTGTGTGTATCTAATCAGCCAAAAATATTAAAAAAAAAAAAAAAGAAAATAATTGGGGCCCAGATTTAAATGATGAACCATTGTATCAATTTAAGTGGTTACAACTGAATTAATTTTTTTTCTTCTGTCTTTGAATATTCTAATGCAGTCTTTAATCTTAGTAATTTATCTATTTTTAATGTATATTTATATATATA